CCTGGGTGGCTCAGTCTGTTAAGCATCTGACTTCAGCTCGGGTCATGATTCCGGGGTCCTGGGATCCAGACCCGCATGGGACTTCCTGCTCAGCGGGGAGCCTGCTTCTCCCTCTGTGCCCCCCCCTCCCCCATTGGTGCTCTGTTTCTCTCTCTCTCTAAGTAAATGAATAAAATCTTAAAAAAAAAAAACCAAAAACCAAGTATCAAACTTGAGGAAGCATGGGCTGGGCAAGCCAAGATGAAGGCCGTGGACACAAAGCAACACAAAATGGGCCTACACAAGAAAAAGAAATCCACAAGTCCAACAAGCGAATCTCTTCTCGCTGAGATTAAGAACATCTCAGGCCTGGGTGGCACTGGCAAGAGGCTGCAGGCCAGGCCAACCAGGCTCCGACTACTCCTGGATCCTTGGGTTTACTGACGTCGGTGGCTCAAGTCCGGGCCCGCACGACAAAGAGAGGCCCAGCAGGGTGACGCGGAGGGGCCCCGCGCCTCCCGCCTGTCCGCCGCGGCCGGGTTCCGCGCCACGCGGCGTGCGCCTCGGCCCTGGTGGAGCCACTGCAGGGGAGGCATCTGGGCAGCGGCGGCAGCGTGCAGAGGTTCTCCAACTGAACCACTGCCTCACGCCGTTCCCTGGTGGAAAGGCTCTTTGTGAGACCTCGACCGGGACAGCCGAGAGGCCACGAGATGGCAGCAGAGGACACAGCCCAAGGACAGAAACCCTGAACCATTTGCAAAAGCAGATCTTTCATTAGGGAGATATGGTCAGTTGCCTATCATCTTGTATTCAAGGCCAGAATAAATGACTGAATTTCAAAGAAATGAGGGCAAAATTCATCAACATGGAGAATTTCCCAACCACCACAGAATTCAGCGGCACATGAAGCCACATATGAATCGGAGATTTCTCCAGGGCTTAAAGCAAGGGATAGGGGTCAAGGCCTTGAAAAACTGACGTCAGCAGGAACCTTGTCCCAGTCACTTCTTTCTGTGAACTTCCAATAGGCCGTAATTCAAGTATAATACGAGTGACTTCCACAGAGGCTGCCAAACCGATGAAGGGGCAGATAAGGGTGGTTGCTGGGAAGCCGTGCAGCAGAGCAGAATGCTTTCATGGAGCGTCCAGGAACTCGGGCAGGAGGCAGGGGCGGGGGCAGATAATGAAGATCACAGGACGTCTCAGACAACCTTCACTGGCAGCTGGGGGAGGATGATGCATAGTGAAGGGCCATTAGTAGCCCTGGGACTTAATCTCTGATCTTCTGACTTGTCATCTAATCATCTAATGCTCCTTCCATTATAAACCCCACCCCCAACACCCAGTTGTTACAAGCCAAAATATCTCTAGACATTGCCAAATAACCCTTAGTGGGCAAAATACCCCTCCCTGAGAATCAATGCCATAGAGAGATACCGATTAAAAAATGGTTAGGATCGTAATGTTAAACCTCTCCAAGACTCTTGAATTTCAAGAGAGGCCTCAAAGGCCTACAAGAGGTACTGCACACCCAAAATCTGAATTCCTATCATATGTTTGAATAGGAAGAGATTATAATTGAAGGACTAGACAGGCTGAATGTGGTCCACAGTTTAAGAAAAATTTGTTCTCAACATTCTAAAATCAGAAGAGTTCACATTTAAAAAGTCAGAATTTCTGAGGTCCCTGAGTGGCTCAGTCAGTTAGGTGTCTGCCTTCAGCTCAGATTATGGTCTCAGGGTCCTGGGACTGAGCCACAGGGGACTCCCTGCTCGGTGGGGAAGTCCCTTTTCCCTCTCCCTCTGCCCCTCTCCACTCCCCCTCCCCCCCACCTCCCAGTTCATGCTGTCTCTCAAATGAATAAAATTTAAAAATAAATAATTAATTAAAAAGTCAGAATTTCTGACTTGTCTAGGAAAATTGGAACTATGCCAATACCAGGCCCACAGTCCCACCTGGCAATAACTGGGTGGAGTTGAGTGGGGGTAAAGTCTTGAAGTAGAATGTGTGCGTTCTAGCTTCCCACAGTTCCCACCAGTCCCTGTTACATCATACCCAATCTGTTTCACTCATTTACACTACTCCTCATCTCTGTAGGCAATTTATTTTCAACTTCTGAAGTGGCCTTAGAGTTTCAGAGTATTTTCCCATGTATGATTTTATTTTAGCCGGGTACTCCAGTAGAGAGGATAAATACTATGATTATAATCTCCATGTAAGCAAAATGTACTTTAGAGAGGTTGACTTGCCCAAACCTACACAACAAAACCAGAATCTGAATTTCCCAACTCCTAGTCCTATTATTTTTTAAGGAAAAGTTTTTTTTTTTTTAAGACTTTATTTATTTACTTGAGAGAGAGAACAAGCACATGAGCAGGGGGAGGGGCAGAGGGAGAGGGAGAAGCAGACTACCCACTGAGCAGGGAGCCTGATTCAAGGCTCAATCCTAGCACCCTGGGATCATGACCTGGGCCAAAAGCATACCCTCAACCAACTGAGCCACCCAGGTGCCCCTGGAAAAGTTTCTATTAACAACTGCCTTTAGTGGTTCAGGGAAAACCGAAGAGGTAGATATGGGCATAACTGCTGGAAAAGATGGGTTCCAATTACTAAACTTTTCAAGAATCACCACAAATGATTAACATTTTTTCTTTTAATATTTCTGCTTCCCTTCTTCTAGGCATTTGAAAAGATTGCCCTTCTAGCAGTCCTGAAGTTGGGTGTGGCTATATGACTTGCTTTGGCCAATGAAAGCGCTATGTGTTCTGTTGAGGCAGAAGCATGGGAGAGCTCAGGAACAATTCATGCTTACTTCACACAGGAGTGGGGGGTGGGGACTCTAAGCCTCATGGTGACTTAGGTAGGATCTCAAAATGGTGGAGCTCCACCAGCTTGGGTTCCTGAATAACTTATAGTGAGCCGAGCCCACTGCCAGACTAGACATGTACTGTTGAGACCAACCTTTGTGGTTTAAAGCCATTAAGATTTGGGCATTGTTGGGGGGCCTGGCTGGTTTAGTAGGTAGAGCATGTGACTCTTAATCTCAGAGTTGTGAGTTCAATCCCCATGTGGGTCACAGAGCTTACTTAAGGGGGAAAAAAAAAAGATTTGGGCATTGTTACTAAAGCATAGCCTAACCTAACCTGACTGATAAGGTTCATTTGTAGGGTCACTGAACTCCAAGAACTAGAATGCAATTCTTAGATTTCTGATCATATCACTAAAAGCCGTTGATCCTATCTAGAAGACAGAGTGAATTGTTTTTTTTACTCCCATTTCCTTATCCACCACCATCTTCTCACTTTGAAGAAAATTATTTTCCGAGTCTTGCACACAGAAGCTCTGCATTATTCCTCCAGCAGTTAGACTGGGAGGAGAAGGGGGAGGCCCAGATCTTGTTTTCTCCATTCAAGAGTCTAATTCCACAACTGTCTCCACCCACTAGTACTCACACAACCTTGTCATAGGGCGACTATTACCACTCCCAAGGTGTCACAAACAGGAGCTCTGCCGCGGGCACCACTGCAATGTCAGGACAAGGCAGCCAGGCTGCGCTCTTTCCTCACTGTTGCCTGGGCTTGGCTAAGTCCGGAGAAGCAGCATTCTATAGGGAAAGAAGCCTTCTCAAGTGGGAACAAAAATGAGTGTGAGGCGCACACCCATCCCGGGCACTATGTGAATTTGGGGTGAGTTCTCTTAGTACTCCAACTGTGGTCAATTTCTAGTTTCTCTAGCGGCTAGTAAGCTGCCCGGCTGGTGCTACTGGGTCTCCCAGTTTTCCTGGGCTTTTCGCAAGCCCAGTCGAGCTTGTCATCTTTGCACACGTGCAAAGGTCATAAACAGTGGGGGCTGAGCCCAACCAGAGCTTCAGGACCAGACGGCAGCCGGGATCAAAGGTCGGCGGGGCAGCCGAGAGGCTGAGCCTGCGCAGTCCCGCTCCCGCCTTGGAGAGAAAGGGTGGCGGCAACGCGGGCTCGTTACACCGGCGTGCTCGCAAGAGGCGGGAAAGTCTTAGCTCGGGTCGCCGCGTCCCCTCCTCTTCCTGCCCCGTCCACCCGTCTGCCCAGCGAGCCTGTCGTCGCCCGGCACCTGGGCCCCGAGGGAGGGGGACGAGAAGGGCCCCGGGCTTCTGACTCATCATCTCCAACCCCTTTCTCGCGCGCGCTCCAAGTCTCAGGACTTTGGATTTGGGCTCTGTGGGAGGGGGCGCGCCGACAGCATTTGGGAAACCCAGCCCTGCCGAGGGCCAGCCCCCAGCCCCTGTCCGGCCCCGAAGCTGCCAGAGGGAGGCCCGTGGACCCACAGTCAGCTCTCAGTTGCCGTGGGTGGGGCGGCGGCGCCCCCGCGCAGGATAACCCGCCTGGCGCCTCCCCGCACGCGGGGCCAGTGGTCGCGTCCGAGGAAACTCTCGGCTAGGCCCCGACTTCCAGCGCCTCGCGTCACTCAGCAGATGCACAGCGCCCCCATCCCGGAGGGAAGGCTCTTTATTTCCCATCAGGCCACGGGGCAGCGGGGCATCCCGGGACTTGTAGTCTTCGCTAGAGTAGAAAGGAACCGGATCGAAGGGAGAAAAAAATAAAGCACCCGTGAATTGATTGCCGAGAATGGGCTTGTACGGGACCGGGCTTGGAGTGGATGGGCTTGTGAAAGGTGGAAAGAAGAGAAATAAGTGAGATGAGGCAGATGTGAAGCTGTATGGGGAGGCGATGGGTAGGGAGGGGAAGGATGGAAGGGAGGAAGGGGGTACAGCTGAAAGTTGGTTTAAGGATGTCCTGCAGGAGGGCAGCTTTCCAGGGCAATGAGGCGAGGGACGACTCCGCTTCAGGTATAGCTTCTCCTAACGGGGAAGGGAAGAGCAAGGGGCCTAGTCTGGATGAAAACTGAAGGCGCTCCTCCGGACTTCATGTAGGTCTCAGAGGACTCCATCTAGCTTCTGAGTTCTGTGGAGTGGGGGCAGGACCGTCTGGAGAACGCTCCTGCCGGGTTAGTGGAGCAGGACTTGTCTGCATCTGCTTGTCCCCTCACTCATTTGTTGCATTTGCTCCGCTAGCCACTGTGGGACCATTCTCCAAAGCAGCAACTTCCTCCAACTCCGAGAGACCCTAAAAGCCAGACAGTTGTGAGGGGAGCAAACTGTAGGGGTGAGAAAGGAGGAATCCCAGACAGAAACAACTTCCTCCTTTTCTTCCATTTTTTTCTTGTTCCTATAGTTCTTCCGATATTTAGGCAGCTTCCTAATGCTCTCCTGCATTTTTAGTCTCAGCCATTTAGATACCCAGTTCCCTCTTACTCAACACTACGGAAGAAATGTCTAAAACCAGAAAACCAATCAGTTTCCGGCTACGACCCCTTCTCTCCCTCTGCCCCCACTAGCCCCATTATTTTCTCTTAAGTGCCACTGACCACGATAGCCAGTAAAAAAATCAGCTGCTAGCTAACTGCTCCATATTTTCCTGCATGCCCTGAATACCTCCTCCAGCTCCTGGTAGTGCAGACTCTGGCTCCTGCAGCATCCTGGCTTCCTCTGGCTCAGCAGGAATAGCGAGTATGTGGAGACCAGCACTCCCCCTAGGGTGAAGGCCTCAGTGCTGAGCTCCACCACCAGCAAGCCAGCCAGCTGCGGGTAGACAGGACTGAGGATGCTACAGGGAACCTGTTTGCCCCTGCCCCTTTCCCTCTTCATCTCCTCATCCTCCCACCTCCTTTATTCACCCATACCTGAGAGGGGGCAGCTGGGGCAGGCCCCAAGGCTGTCTTCATCACCTCGACCACCACCACGATAAAGCCCAAGATCAGACTGAAGATGTTGAGTATCATCATGGCCTGCACCTGCCAGTGAGCCAGTTCAGCCCTGCCCAGCCTAGGGGACTCATTGCCAGCCTAGCCCCAAAACAAACTCAGCTCCTATTCCAGCCTAGGGGACTCATTGCCAGCCTAGCCCCAAAACAAAACTCAGCTCCTATTCCTCCACCTCCAAACAGGGCCATGAGCCCTCTAATTTCTTGCTTTCCCTCCTCAGTTTTTGAGTCCAGTCAGGGGCAGAGAGCTGGAAGGATTAGTTAACATTTAGTCACTTCCTGGGCTGAGTGGTTTGCGTGCGTGGACGTGTGTGCATGCGTGTGTGTGTGGGGGGTGGGTGTGGGAGAACAGTGCTGCATTCTCTTCCCCTCTTACCTTCCAGAGGCGGGGTGCTCTGCGCAGCTCAAGGGTGACAATCCCAGTGAGGAGACCCTGAATGGTGAGAAAGGCAAGTGTTGAGCTCTGGCCCCATTAAGGAGGGGCCTCCAGGACCTTCCTTCCACCCTTCCTTGCAGTGGGTCTTACCAATGCTCCAGGCCCAAGCGGCAGTGCTGTGGCCATGTGACAAGCAGAGTTCAGGCAGGCAACGGAGACAGCAAAGGGCACCACAGCCACTGCCAGCCATAGCTGGCTCACCTGGAGGCCGGACACAGGGTAGTTGAAGGGGGTACAGAGATCAGCAAGTGGGAGGAATGCACGTTGGCGGAAAGTAGGCAACCAAGGACAAGTGAAGGAATGGGATATTATTTAATTTTTCTGCCTCATGTCCAAGTTTGGTTACTTACCTATGTGTTTTCCCCACACGATGGAAGCTAATTGGGGATTAAGTGTCTTGCTTCATTATTCTATGCTTTCTCCACCCTCCTCCCACTCAGAGGCTAGTACAGTTTCAGGCACAGGGTGGGTGCTCCCTAAACATGGATAGAATCGAATTGGGGTGCAATTGGACATGCTGAAGGTTGGGGTGGGGCAGCCCGGCCTCACCGCCAGCACCAAGAGGTGCCCACTCTGCCTGTGCCTTGCCCAGTGCTGTAGCTTTTCCAGACGAAGCCTGGGTCTCTCCTGCTCCCACTGAGCAGCTTTCTTCTCCATGGCTCCCTTGATCACTGGAGTTCAGTGCTTCCTAGGCTGGGAGAAATGCATTATGGCACCTATCAGGAGATAGGACATGCAGAAACAGCTCTTTCAGCTGTCCCTTTGCCCACTTCCAAAATCTGGGGAGTTGAGCCTCAGGGCCTCAGACCTACCTAGTCTGAAGGTGCTACGCCAAAGGGTTGGGACCCAGCCGAGCCTGGAGCTCCTGGCAGGGTCCAGTAGCTCAGAGCAGACGACGACAAACTTGTTTTGGCAGAGACGGCCTGTCAGGGCCGGGTGTGGTGGGGCAAAGGTCCCCATGAGAGCCTAAGGATCCAGGGAGTGGCCATGGGCAGACACCAGCCTCAGTTCATTCCACAAGACCGCCCAGCCGTGCCTTGCTCTGTCCCTCTTTCCCGTTGCCGCCCTCTCTGCCCATCCAAGGTCCTCTTCTGATTGCTCACCTCATCCCAATGAACACTACCACCCTGGGGTCCCAGTTTCCCCCCATTTCCATCTAATCTTTCTCCTTTTTTTTGCTTCCACCTCAGATTACCTGCTGTTCCCTAGGGAAATCCCGTGTTACTGTCTGGATTGGTCCCCTGTCATTACCACTTGAAGTGTTGTCTCAAGACCAGGCAAGGTTTAATTCCCCTGGCTTCCTGTCTCTCACTTTCTGGACAGTTTCTCCTCTCTTCTTCCTTTCTTGAAGGATTTACTCTGGATTGGACATGAAGTAGATGGGGATCCCTATTTATAGTGGGGATTTTTTAATGTTACGGTGTTAACTTGCAGCGAGATATGTATAGAAAATAGTCCCCAAATGGTCAGTCTTGGGAAGGACACTACCGCACCAAAGGATATTTTTGAGAGATACAGGTTGCCTTGCAGTCAGGCTGACCTGGACTAGAATCTCAGTTCTGTCACTTTCCCACCTGTGTGACCTTGGATACATTATTCTACCTATTTGAACCTCAGTTTGTTCAAACTGAGTGATAAAAAGAGGGCTAATAATATGACTCATGCTGGGCACTTAATAACCATTGGTGGCGCAGTGAGGTCACACTGATGTGCGTGATGCCCATATACTGAAGGCCTATTCAGAAGTAAGCTGGGGACATCTGTTTCTACAGTAAGAAGCAGAACCAGCTGGGCCCGAATATACACTCCCTGGATCAAAAATAGGAAAGGTGCAGAGCCCGAGATCTGGAGAAAACCAGACCTATGTTCAAATCCCAGATCTCCCGGGATGACCTAGGGCAAGTTACTTAATCTCTCTGTTTCCTTATCTATAAAGGGAAGTTAATAATACTGATCTCAATACAGTACTCAAGGGGTTGCCTTGAGTATTAAAAGAGAAAATGCAATGAACTAGCTCAGCCCCGTACCTAGCACTTAAGTGCTCAATAATTGTTGGTGACTATTATCATTATTATTACTGAAGGTATTAGAAGACAGAGCCAGAAGACTTCTGGGAGTTAGTACTGACAGGCAGGGTCCTGGGAGGCAAGTGGTCCTTTGTAAGACCCTTCTGTCCTGCTTCGTGCTGGGCCAACACTCATTGGAGCACTGTGTCCACTCTTCTTTCCTGGGGAGTGGGAATCACATGTAAAGGGATCTGGAGAAGTTGTGTGTCTACTCCTGCCTCAGTCCCCGTGTGCATTAATTTTATCTGGTGGCAGTGGCCTGGCAGAATGTGAAATGTTCGGCTTGCTCTGAGGATCCCTGAGCTGGTAGACCAGTGGAAAGAGACTCTAGCTTCATTTTCCTTACCTGTAAATGCAGACTGATTATATTTCAGAATGTTATTGCAAGGATTCTATACTATTAAATATGTGAACAGGCATTCTGTCAATATTGATTAAATCTGAGTATACTACTTACAAATTTGTAGCCCCTGTCTAGATTACAATCTGCTTATGGGAGGGTACTACAAGCCCCTCATCTGCTCATCCCCCACAGTGCTAAGCATAGTGCCTGGTACTCGGTAAGCAATTAGTAAATATTTGTTGTATTGAAGAGCCATTAAAGTGACTTAGGGAATGGAAAAGAGAATTCGAGAGGAAGGAGTAGGATTGGTTTATCAAGAACAGAAAGGACCGAAGAGTAACTTTAATAATGTTTCTTATACGGCAGACATTAACTATCTCTATTATCGCCCCTCCTCCTCCTCCCCAAAAAGAGAGACAGAAATTGTAAGGGAGAGGCTTTGAGATAAAACCCCAGGAAGAACTTCCCGAGTCTGTGCATGTTGGGGCAGAAAGAGCGGCAGAGCCAACTCCTTCCCTGGTATGTCCGGGTTTAGGGTGGGAGGGGCAGTCCGGCTTGGAGGCTGGGGGAAGGACGAGATGACCTTTCAAAATCTCTTCCAGTCTCCTGTTGGAATCGTCTGTGCGTCCCACCCCCGCTCACTCCCTCCCTCCCTCCGACAGCGCCCCCCGTCTCCAAACTGCCCGTACCCCGCCCCTGGCGGCCGCCTCTCGCGGCTCCCGGGGTCCCCAGCTCCCTGTCCCCGGAGCCAGAGCCCCGCTCCCGCTCCCGCGCGGCTCCCAGCCCCGCCGCGCCGCCCCCCGCATGCTAATGGCCGGGCCGCCTCCCGCCGCACACAATGCGGGCCAGGGCCGGGGGCGGGGGACCGGGGAGGGG